TGAGCAGACACAAAGGAAATTGCTCAGACATGTACCACTGCCCCCAGCACCTCACCTTACCCCCATACCCATAGAAGGCAGACACGCTTATTATTCCTGCTTCGGAAAGAGCTGGTACCTCGGGGTTCCGGAGAAAGAACACTCAGCTTGCCTTCCCTCCCATGAACAATTGAGCAGAAGGAAACAGGACATTCAGGCCTGGACTTCCCCACAGGAAACTCTGGCCTCCTGCTTCCCTTCTCCATGGCCCTGGTGGAGTTCCAGGTGAGCCACAGCCTGCTGGAGAAGCAGACGCCAAGGAGGGCCAGCAAGCTCAGATGGATTTAGAAATATTTTTTTAAACTTGTTGCATTCTTAAAATACTCTTTAAAAATATTTTTTATCATTTTATATATGTGGGTCTTTTGCCTACATGTGTGTCTGTGTACCTCAGGTGTGTCTTGTGCCTGAGGAGGGCATAGATTACAGATGGTTGTAAGCTATCCTGTTAGTCCTAGGAATCAAACTTAGATCCACTGGAAGAGCAGTCAGTGTTCTTAACCATTGATCCATCTTTCCAATCCCAACTTGTTGCAAATAGAATACCAATTTTTAAAATTTCCTATTCATCACTGAAGAGTGCATATTACCCTGAACTTACTCTGCATGGAGCTGGAGGAATTGGAAAGCACTGGTTCTTAAATACCACTCTAGCACTTTCCTGAACCCTGCTCACCATGCAGCAGGGACACCAATTTTGCCTTATGTGAGTATCGTATTAAAAACATTACTGTTTTTGAGCATGGTCTTAGTGTGTAGCCCAAGTTGGCCTTGAGCTCTCAATTCTACCTCCACCTTCTATATACTGGGATTAAACTGTACATCACTTCTTGATTTAAATGTCCTTTCTATGTAAACATAGCTAGCACTATATCAACAGCCTGATCTTGAATTTAGCACTCACTAGTAGCTTTTAATTGGTTATATGTATGAAAATGTACAAGACAAAATTTTAATTCTCTAAGATGTTGGGGCCATGAAGAACACACAAACAACCATTTAGGGTGCAAAGCAATGGCTTGTATCCATCAATGGACAAGGCAGATAGAAGTGTCTAGAAGTTCCAAGAGAAGACATCTGGGTGGACAGAGAGGTGGGATCTGAGTTGGCTGAAGAAAAGGGAAGGTTTAGACCTGCAGGGAGGTGAGGTAGAAAACCCCAGGCTTTGTGTTTTACATTCCCCACAGTTGGTAGCCTGCTAGTTACTCTGTGGGTACATCCTAGAGAGCACTGTGCATCCCTTGCACAGTCAGAAGCAGGAGACTAGTGAAAAGCTGAGCCCAGAGAAAGCCATACCATCAAGTAATCTGCTTGGTTGTATCCAAGCCCACAAGGTAAAGTGCTGTGAGGCTAACGAGGGAGACCTGCCCAACACAGGTAAAGAGGAAAGGACAAAAGGAATGTGACAGCAATACCCACATTAAGAGCCATGCCAGCAAATGCCAACATTGACAAGGCACTTATTTACTGTGGCATGCACCATGAGAGGAGCTGGATGTAGATCAACTCATCTGGTTGTCATGACAACCTGAAGAAAGAGATGCCCATTCTTATTTGTTGTTGTTGTTGTTCTTAGGATCCAACCTAGCTCCTCTAGGATGCTAAGTAGGACCTCTGTCATTGAGCTACATCTCTAGCCAATATTGTTATCCATCATCATCATCATCATCACCATCATCACCATCATCACCATTATCACCATAGTATTATGAGAGGAGAAAGGAAGGGATGGAGGGATTCATAAACTTTCTCCAAGTTTGCAAATTCATGTCTGTGAACCACAAAGCACAGACTCTGAGCTACAGCAAGATTTTTTCCCCCTCTACTCCTTAGTCCTACAGAGAAGAGCTCCTTCTACAATATTTTAGAAAAGGGACATGTGTCACCTATCCTCTCTGGCATTGCTTGGTGGTTGTTTAATAAGACTTGGGGATGACAGGGCTTGAGATGTACCCTGGAGCTGGGATGTGTCTCCTTTCTATTCCACAGCAGTCGGGGGTGGGGGGTAATTAGAGTAGCAGCTGCCCTTGCCTCTGCAGGCTAAGCGAGCCTCCTATCAGGGTGTCCCTTCACATTCAGAGTCTCTGTCTTGAGAAATTACTCAGTTTGTCCACGTCTGCCTCACACCCCAGGAACCTCAACCAAGAGAGCCCCAGATGTGGCTTGATGGGAGGCAACACACCAATGGGATGTGCCTCACTATTTATCCACGTCATTCATGCTGCTGTGACTGTATCATTGTGTGATAAAATGCCACAACCAAAAGCAACTTACAGAGAAAAAGTTTATTTTGGCTTACAGTTCTAGGGGGATAAGTGTCCATCATGGGAGTGAAGGGAGCAGGGAAGCATGGCAGCGAGCTGCAGACACGGTGGCCAGAGCAGGAAGCTGAGAGCTCACATCTTCCACCACAAGCACAAAGTAGAGAGAGGGAACTGGAAGTGGGACAAGGTTTACACTTTCAAAGCCAGTCCCCATGACATACTTCCTCCACCTGAAACCTCACCGAACAGCATCACCAACTGAGGACTTTTCAAACACAGGAGCCTATGGGGGATATTTCTCATTCAAACCACTTCAATGATTATCCTCTAAAATTGGGTCAAGATTTTAGCAGTGGCTAGTTTTTCTGGAGTTTGTGGTTAACAAAGTCCCCTTAAAGCTATTCAACACTTTCCCACTCCATGGGCAAAGAAATTTCTCTACAGCTGAGAAACCAATTGGTCAATCACATCATTTGGGGGATTCAAAGAAGAGATTACAAAAGCAAGATATGTTTCATTTCACATTGAGGAGAACAGGAATGAAAAAGGAGACAATAATCATCCCATCACTCCCTTTGGTAGTTTGAAAGAAAAGAGCCCCCAAAGGGAGTGTCACTATTGGAGTAGGTGTGCCCTTGTTGGAGGAAGTGTGTCACTATGAAGGTGGGCTTTGAGATCTAACATATGCTCAAGTTTTGCTCAGTATGATACTCAGAGCACTTCCTGTTGCCTGCAAGATGTAGGACTCTCAGCTCCTTCTCCAGCACCATGTCTGCCTGCCCGCCGCCATTTCCCACCATGATGATAATGGACTGAACCTCTGAACTGTGATTCACCCCAATTAAATGTTTTCATTTACAAGAGTTGTCGTGGTCATGGTGTCTCTTCACAGCAATAGAACTTTAACTAAGACACTCCCCCATTTTTATTTTCCGCAAAGTAATTAGTATGAACAACTTGAAGCCTTTCCTAAACACATAGACAATACACATAGGTCTTCTCAAAGCTGCCTGCAGGCTAAATCTGACTCACTGACTGCTTTTATCAATAAAGCTTTATTGGAACACAGTCATATCTATTCTTCTGTATATTGGCAATAGCTGTCTTTCTGCCAGATGAACAAACATAAATCATTATGACAAAGGCTGTGGGTCACACAAAGTCTAAAATAGTTATGATCCAGCCATTTATGCATCTGTGTGTGGTGTGTCTGTGTAAAGAATAAAGGACATTATGCCACACTGTGGGTCCTGGGGGTGGGGATCATCAAGTTTGACCACAGGTATGTTTCCCACTGAAATACAGCTAGCTTTTCCAAAGCAAAAAGAGATGCATGAATGCAGAAAGTGCTTGTTTTGACCTGTGCCCCACTCTCTCAACTATCATGGAGTAGTTGAGACATATCAGAAAATATCATGGACACCCTTTAGGTCACTTAGCGTAGTCTAATTTCCCTTTTCTTTTCTTTTTTTCATTTTTCTTTTCTTTTCTTTTCTTTTCTTTTCTCTATTCTTACCCTCCCTCCATTTCTCCTTCCCTCTTTTTGTTTTGTTTGAGAGGTAAGTTTTGCTGTACATGGAACCCAGGTGAGTGTTGAACTTGACTATCCTCCTGCCTCAGCCATCCAAGTGCTGTAATTACAGGAATGTGCCACCATACCCAGCTTTGATTTCTTTCTATCCTTTACACAGACACTTGTGTTTATACACACAGATGCGTAAACAAACAAATACATGCAATACTAATGAAATGATTTTAAAGCCATCCATCTCTCATTTCGCAACATAAGAGAAGTATTCTCGCCGGGCGGTGGTGGCGCACGCCTTTAATCCCAGCACTCGGGAGGCTGAGTCAGGCGGATCTCTGTGAGTTCGAGGCCAGCCTGGGCTACAGAGTGAGTTCCAGGACAGGCTCCAAAGCTACACAGAGAAACCCTGTCTTGAAAACCAAAAAAAAGAGAGAGAGAGAGAGAGAGAGAGAGAGATTTTCAAATTTCACTATCAATGACCACTAGATTTGCTTTCAGGCTTTTGCCTCTGTGGGACTAGATGTGCTCAAGGAATCCAAGGGGCCCCGAGAGAAACACGGCCTCACTGCAGACATGCAGCTCCTGCTGTAAACTCACCGAAGCGGCAGTCTGAGCCAGCCCTGAGGGCTAGGAGGAATTAGACTTCGAGGAAGCAAAGTCTGTCTCCAAGTGGCACCTGTGTCCTCATGGTCACCTGGTGCTTTTTGGATGTCTCCCGTGTGTAGAGCTTTGGCTGAGCATGCATTCTGTTACCTGACCCATTCACATCTTCTAAGAATTTCTCCCAGTACCAACCTGGGGCACACACCACCACATCCAGACAACCTTTTCTGCCACTGGCGGGATAAGAGGTCTCTTGGAACAAAGCAGAAAGAGTTATGAAAGGAATCTTCACAGATACTTACTCCTGACCTCCTCGTGGGTCAGAGTCCTGAAACCATAACTCCTCCCCAAGAGGTAATACATCTGTTTTTCCATAGGAATTCTGGGTAAACTCATGTGTGCTCCGATGTCTAAAAGACGCTACCATGGTACTATCTCTAGGTTGTCAACCAGGCTGGAGGCCTGCCACACTGCCCCTCCTCACCAACCTTCCCAGGGCTCTTGCCAGAGGGTGAGACACAGCACACTTCTCAGTGACTCATTCACACTTCCCTCCTGTCACTGACCTTGTGTCTGCCATTCCAAAGGTCTTCCGCAGGCTGGCAGTCACGTGCTCCCTTCTTCCTCCTGCCATCCTGTTTGGGAAGATAAATTCTTTTCTGAGCCGTCAGCCCACATCTTACTAGGCAGAGAATACCAGTGCGGGTCTCACCAGCCCTCCTTCCGGTTGTTGCTCCCCCCATGACCTGCTTTCCTAGCTCCAGTGCAAGCCCCACAGGGAAAAGACCCTTTTATCTCCAGCACTTTGCCATCTGGAACAGTCTTCCGGAACATTCCTGAAAGCCATAAATCTTTGCAAACTAGGTTTTCCTTTCTGGCTCCTGCCTGTAAACTTGACGGACCGTGTTGTTGCTAAATTTTAACAAAGCAATCATGATAAAAATGTTACTAAGAGGCAAACTTCAACAGGAAAGGAGGGTGTCCCTTGGTGTTTGTGCTGCCCCCTACTGGATAGAAATCAGTGAATCTGCTGGCCAGCCTGCTCTTGGTCAAAATACTCCTTGTTTTAATTTAGACTGGCTTTAAATATCAGTCTTGGAAAGTAACCCTCATCTTCGTTACAAGGCAAAGTACTCCGCAGTCTATTTCGGGCCTCCCGATGTCCATTAAACTGTTCTTGCCCTTTGATCCAGTAATTTCCTTCCCAGAAATCTGCCCTGATGAAATAAGAAGAAAAGTAAACAAGAGATTACTCTCAGAGATGACTGTATTGTTATTACTCATGGTAGCCAAGAATCAGAATGAAGTTGGTGTCCAACAAGCAGGTGGTTCAGGATAGCCATAGGCCAGGCTAGCGGGTCCTTAAAAGCAATCTAGTGATGTTGAAGGGTGTGAAGAGGTATTTATGCCATGGTGGGTCAGCGAGACCTATCACACAACTGTACGGTCTCATCTACATATGTATGTGAATAAGTCTGGAGGGGACATGGCAAAACCTCCTATGGTTTCTTCGAATGATAAGATTAAGCTATTTTATATGCTCATATATTTTTGAATTGTCCTGCAAACAGGAAACTTGCATGGTGAAAGAGCAAGGCTTTAGGACCAAACAACTACAGTTTCCATCTTCGTTCTGTGTCCCTGGACAAGTGACTCAAGCTGTGCAGACAGACCTGCTCTCTCAGCAGTAGATGACAGTCATAATGGGATCTATGTCTCTGTGAGGACCACGCACATCGCCCACGTGCCCTGCTCTTGGGCTCTTATTGATAAGTGATGGACGCCACTCTAAAAGAGGACAGAGTGGGCAAACTGTTCCCCCACAACCTCAAACCAGGTCTGCATCCACTCTTCCACAACGTGCAGATGAGCAGAAATGATGTGGTTTCTACAAGTTGTCTTGCACACTTAGGAAGTCCATGCGCTCTGCTCTTTTAGCTGCTAAACCAGCCACTTTACATCACTAGGTCTCCAAGATATGGAAACCACATTGCGGAGGCGGGTTCGTGGGCACCGCTTCTAGCACTGAAGAAATTATCCAAATAGCCACAAAGGGGGCCAAGTCTTCTTATGTATTTTATGAATCTCACCAGTGAAAATTCATTTCTGATGTTTAGTGTGCTCATTAGCAAAACAGCCAATGTCTCTCAAAGGTTAAGGTTCTTAAATTCTGAAGCATTTAAAATGACTTATTTATAATGCGATTTTTTTTTTCTGAATGCTGGTTAGCATGGGAGCTGCCCGTGGGGTCCAACTTCAAATAATAATACATACATAAATATCTTACAGTGTGTGCTCACGTGCTTCAGGGAGATTACAGACCTGCAAACAAGAAAGACAGCCCCCGTACGCACAGCAAGCATGAAACAGACTATGTGGTATGAACTCTTACGCAAAAATTCTAGCTGGCTAAATACTTGAATTTTATGCTTTGGGCCTGTACTCCCTTAAAGATTTTGAGCTATAGTTTTCTGCATTCTTTTCACTGCTTCCTGTTTTCTGTCCCTTTTTTCCTCTCCTCCTTGTCTTCTGTCTTTTACATTACTTTTTTCCTCCCTCCCTCCCTCCTTTCCTTCCGTCCTGTTGAAACAACTGGGAATGGTTCTCTGACTTAACTGGATTAATTCTGAGTCAACTATAGAGTTGATCATAGGCTGCTTTTGGAAGAATCACATGGGGTCTTTGCCTCTCAATATATTAGCCCTTCACATTAACTTGCAAGGCTTAGTTGTGAGCTTTCAAAATCCTTTTTTTTTTTTTTTTTTAACTGAGATGGCTCAGTGGGTCAAGGTGCATGCCACTAAGCCTGACAAACTGAGTTGGATCCCTGGGCCCCACGTGGTAGAAGAGAAGCAGGTCAAACACTGACCTCCATACACACAATGAATGCCCCTTTCCTCCCCACAATAAAAACATAAATGTTTATTAAAAAAAAACAAAAAAAAACAGGGGAGCTCCTCTTTCACAAAACAATGCCCTCTATTGAAACAACATCGTTCCTGTGTTCAACTGAGTAGAGCACTTCCTGGACTCCATTCATCTGTCCTGAAGGAGTTTCCATCAGTGTACAGCTCACAGTGCCTGGCTGGAACTTAAAAGCACCTGCAAGCTTTTTAACAGAGATGGCATGGGAAAAAGAAAGTGGCCAAATCACCTGATCTTGGAGGGAGAGTTTTATGAATTATTTTTTCCATTCCATTCTGAAGTGTGGCCATTGTCAATAGGGGAGCCATAGTGGGTCTCCAGGCAGAACCCTAATGGGAAAGCATGGGTGCTGCCCCCAGAGGCTCCCAGGGCTGGAGGAAGCACTCCACTCCACTATCCCCCCAGATCTTCTACACCTCAGGAATTCTGTACAGAGCTCCGTTTTGGCATGCAGAGAAGCTCTCCATTTAGGGAGGTTTTTATCAGAGAAATCAAAGCGGGAAATATTTGGCTCAGATAAGAGGACTGATTGGCATTCTTCTCATTCTGCAGAGGAACATAGATCAAGGCAGGGGACTGGGGACTGGCCAGTGTGAGGTAACGCTGCATACTCTTAAAGTGCCCAAGGCTCCATTTTTTGTTTGTTTCTTTTTGTTTTTTAGAGACAAGGTTTCTCTGTGTAGCCCTGGCTGTCTTGGAACTCACTCTGTAGACCAGGTTGGCCTAGAACGCAGAGATTACCTACTTCTGCCTCCCAAGTGCTGGGTTTAAAAGTGTGTGCCATCATGCCCTGCTTCACTGTAGATTTTAAAGAGCTATTTCTTTTTATTGGAACCTGGACTTCTACAGCAATAGTGTGTTATAATGATATCTTCCCTCTTCTCATGGGGCAGGGCTTTTCCTTCCAACTCCCCCACTCCTCAGTCTGTTTCCTGGTTGGTAGTTTCACTTTTTGTGACTTACACAAAAGACTGGCAAGAGTGGTAAGAGCAAGAGCCGGTGCTTATTGGGAATGTTTTGTGGAGCAGGAGTGACCGTGGGTTCATAGACTAACTTATTCATAGTCATTTGGCCAGATCCTGACTTCCGTAGCTCAGGGAGAATTGAATACGGCTCACTCTGACCACATGGCCCAGTTGGGCCCAGAGGGTGCTAACTTCAGCCCATTTAAGCCCACTCTCAAGCACTGTGGTAGAATCTTCAAACCACCTTAACCACCCGTCGTCATATGCACAGCTCTGGGCACAGGGAAGGGGAAGTGTTCAATGAGCATCTTCAGTTTATAGCTTGCGGGTACCACGCCACAGACCCGCAGCAGCCATAACTCTTCCTGCCTCTGACCCATGGAGGTTGCCAAGTGTGACTCTCCCTCAAGCACCAGAATATTAAAATGGCTCCATTTCTGGAGGCTGTCAAGCAAAATTCATTTCTCTTGGTACAACAGGCTCCATTTGTCATACTATGAACTGGGTCCCCCAGGGGGCTCAGGTAGCCTGGTGACCACTGTGATGTGAAGATGTTGAGTGTCTCTGTTCCTGTTTGTGACCCAGCCGCACCGCCTCTCCGAAGGCAGTCGGGAGTCCAAATGGTTTGCATTTGTTTATGGGCTAACGTTTCAAGTGAGAGTTAAGACACAGGATGAACAGAATTAAATTCTCTCTCTCTTTTTTTTTCCAAGAGAGATAAGCTTGTCTGTTCACCACAGCTGGCTCTGAAAGTCCCCAAAGACACTGCCAAGTCTCACTTGGTCCTTTCACTACCCTGCTCTCAGCTCAAGTTCAACTTTGCTCAGAGCAAGAGTAAGAACAGCTTTTTCCTGCTGGCCTGCTGTTTGCCTAGGAAAAGGGCTCCGTGGTTGAAGTTGTCAGTGTGTGGGCCTTAGGTCTCAGAAGGCATCAAGGCAGGTCCCCTATCTGCTCTCTGTCCTTGTAAAGCAGGGGCACACACTGCAAGGCCGGCAGAGAGGTAGTAGTACAGGACTTTGAAACAGACTCGGAAGCCGAAATGCCAGGTACTGCGACCCAGCACTGACTATTAATGTCCTCCTCAGTTTCCTGGGGAGAATAACAGTACCTCTTCACTGTGGCGCACAGCGTTAAATACAAGTGCACTCTGTACCATTATTGTCATTTGAGGCAGCCCAGTAAGGAAAACTAATGTGGTTGCAGGTGTTCCAGCACAACGGAGAAGAAGAAACTGTGCTGCCCCAGACACAGCATGCTGCACTTGACATGGCAGCCTGAGCCCACGGGCAGGCCAACCCGCAATTCCCAACGCCTTTCACATGTTCCCAGAGCAGCCCCAAATCCAGACTCTGCAACAGGTTCCAGTGTGTAAACACTGACAATAAAACTCTGGATTGAACTAAACACAGCGTGGGAGTCAGGATCGAGCCAGATGCTGTGGCTGCTGCCTTGGCTCAGGGTCACTCCATCCTGCCACCACCAAGTGTTGGATATGAGCTCTGTAACCCGAAGATAAACAGAGCCTCCTGATGAATTTCATCTCTCTCTCTCTCTTTCTCTGCCTGTCTTTCTTTCTTTCTTTTTCAGCTTTTCAAGGTAGGGTTTCCCTGTGTAGCTCTCGCTGTCCAGGAACTTGCTTTTTATCCAGGCTGGCCTCAAACTAAGATGCTGTGGGATGGTCTGTATGTCAAATGTGTTGCTCTGATTGGTCAATAAATAAATCACTGATTGGCCAGTGGCCAGGC